TTTACATTAAGCTATAATTAACTAAGGTAAGCTAGTCTAGAATCTCTCTTTACTCTTTAATATATTAATACTTAATAATCCTATCGGCCTTCTTAAATATATCTAATATTTCTTATAGCATTAAGACTTATTAGCTACCTATATAATTATAATTATATAGCTTGCTCGGTCGAATTTAATACTATAATATAGAAGAGTGCTAACTATTCTATAAGTTACGTCTGAGTAACTCTTATTAAAGCGGCTTTACTTATACCTATCCGCCTATAGCGGTAATATAATTACCTTTATCGGCTTTAGGATATAGAGGAGCTCCCTTATATATACTGCCGCCGCGAGCGCTATATATTTATGCTACTTATTATTCTTATAAGAGTTAGAGTAATTATATATTCCGCGGATTACTAGATAGGGGAAGTTATTTATTAAGCTAGTAGCCTCTATCTTAAAGTATAGGACATTAAGCTCTAGATCTCGCGATAACTAGTCCCTTTTCTTAGCGTTCTTTATAACTAAGTTCCTTAAAGCGATAGTGCCGTAATAAATATCGAACGCTTATAGATCTATCTAAGGTACTCTCTCTTTGAGTTCGTCTATACTATAAGCTATATAAGTCGCCCTATTAATATGCTTATAGTCTACGTAATATAGTTAGTCGTTAGTAAGGCATTAATAGTCAGGTATATCGTCTATTAACTTTAGGTATTTAAGTATCTTATCCGCCTTCCTAGGGTCGTTATATTAGCGTCGCATCTTTAAAAGCGCTCTTAGAAGTACCGCGGGTAGAGAGTTTAGTTAGCCGGTATATTAAAACCGATACTTAGAGAGCCTTTTACTAAAGTCGTATTATAGCACGCCCCCTAGCTTTCTATAAGGTTCGCTAATAACTATATCGCTGAGATAGATATCTCTATCTAGCGTTAGAGCGCTTCCGCTAATACTTATTATTAAGGCGAATTTTAAGTAAGGAAACGAGCGAACTATATCTTATATAATAATAGCCGCTAAGTTAATACCGTATTAACTATTAAGGAGACATTTAATAACGATATTATATTTAGAGATACGTTTAAATATATAGGTATTATTATTATATTCATTAATAATCTCTAGGCTATTATACTTAATATTAAGTATATAGTATATAGCTTTATATTCCTCCTATAAGGCATAGATCTAGCTAATTATATAGTCTTTAATATAAGGCTCGGATGTTATATTAAGGTAGCCGATTAATCGCGCTTTATTATCGGCTATAGTACTAAGCCTTATAGTATTTATCGTAACGGCGGGTATAGCGACTAGGGTCTCAATAAGGATCCGTTTCTTTGCGGCCGTATTTAAGAGGGCGGGGGATAGGGCCCTAAATATATCGAACTCGGGCGACTATAGCGTTATCGGTAAAGTCATAGCCTATAAGGCTAATAGTATGTCTCCGAGATATCGTGCGGCTGAATGTTATATAGAGAGCATCCCTAATTCGTATAGGGCGTATGTCTCACCTGCCTTAAGTAGCTATAGCTGCCTGGGAGGTAGCTATAACTGCCTAAAAGAAGTAAAAACCTTTTATTTATATATAAGAAACGCATGACGGATAATATAGAGTTTAGGACTCCTTAAGATAATTCTCATTAATTAACGTAATGCTAACCGTGATCCTTATAGAGCTAATTGTCTGATACTGAAACATGGAGGGGACTTTCGTCGTCTGCGAGCGCCTACCTAGCGCTTATTAATTCGCCTAGCAGATCCCTGTCGAAGGTAGTGCTGGTGCCGCGGCCGCCTTGTCGACGGAACCTGCCTACTCGGAGGCGAGGCCGACTTCCCGCCCTAACTATAAGGCTGTGATAGCGGCTAGAAGGCCTGGTCGTCGGCGCGTGATGGGTTCGGTTCGCCTTGGACTTCCTCTTACGGCCCTACCCTGCCGTAGCGTATACCTTAAACTGCTTACGTCGGCGGCTGCTTGTCTGCACTTTACGGCTAGGCCGGCGAGGACACCGGGCTAGTCGAGAGAATAATGATTTAGTGATGGCCGAAGGTGGTAGAATACCGCAAAAACAGGGGTGGGGTCTTGTAGACGTCTTGTGTCAACATTAAGTCGCTCTTTCATAACTAGTAGACATGACGGTGTTGGTTACTTGCGCATGTCAAGCATATTAGAGCTAGTATGCGTCTAATTCCTTAATACAAGTAGCTTAATTAGACTTAATCGAGCTCATAGCTAAGCATAAGAAGCTGGACGTCTTGCCAGTCATTAGATAGAAAAATCAAGAGTCTTTCGTTGCCCGACTCACAGGGGACCTTCTACCCGGTCGTTAGCTTGTTATGCATTTGTGCCGTGCGATATCTTGCGAGATGGAGCGATGGAACTGGGCCCGCCTGGCCCCGCCAGTACGCCCAGTTCCCAGTCCTTTGACAACTGGCATAACGTCTCTCTTAGGTAGTGTAACGCTGGCTGCGACGCACCAGTGGCAAGACGAATAGCGTGGTGTCCTGGCCTCGATTGTCCCCAGTACTTGATCTGTTCGGCGTTCCGGCCAAACCGCTTTTGCTCGCGTCGTGCCTTGCCCGAGCCCAGGCGTTGCGTTGATCCACCCTAGACTTAGACGTTTGGCGACCGAAGAAATGGAAGGGTACCGTTCGACGCATAACCAGACGGTCCGTCTCAGAGCCGGCCGAGGTGCCTTGTCCGTTCGCGGCCCACCTTTTAGTCGCAAGGCCCGGATGGTCAGACATTAAAGTGCGCCTAACTCTACCTTGGCTAGTGGCCCTGGCTTCGCTATGCGGAACTGCATATTACATCTAATGAGCGACGGCGACGGCCTTAGATACTCGTATAGCCTCAATTGCGTCTCCTCCGGACCCTGTAATATGTCGACCCTCCTCGTTAGCTAGCTTTTTAAGAGTAGGTTCTGTCTTAGGTAGCCGCCGAGGCTTATTGCTAAACGGACCACCTATAACGCGGCTTACTATAGCTGGGCGCGAACCTATTATTAGCTATATATATACTCTCTGCTATTCCTTAAGCCTGCCGCTAGTGTTCTCTATATAATATTTATGTCGCTTCTTACTATAAGCTAATCTAGCATCTCGCGCCTTACTTCTAACGTCCCTTTAATAGATATGCAATCCCGGCCGAACTAGAGCTTAAGTAAGTAGTTCCCGAGCTATTAGTTAGCTAGCACCGCCGATAGTAACCTTACGCTTTATGGTTTCCGTCGGTTTAAGACTATGCATTTACTTAATTTGCGATATCTCGAGATGGAGATTGCTTAAATAGATCGACTTCTATATTAGCTAGGCCTTAGTCTAGATCTAGGAATATCTAAAGTAGATAGACTTAGTTTAAAGTATTGCGAAAGGGACGAGGAAATACCGCTAGTTAACGAGGCTATATCGAGGGAGCTCATTATAACGCTCCGTGGATTAATGAAGGAGTATAGTCCGTGATATATCTATAGTTGCCTAGGTCCGTATTAACTAATAATAGACGAGGCAATACTGAGGTTCGCAAATATTATATCTATAGATATATTCTCCCTCCTTAACGATAAAGAGTAATACGACCTTTATAAGGATCTTACGTTATATGAGATGTTTAAGACTAGGCTGCTACGAGTAGATTAAGCGCCCCGAATGCGACAGGATCCCCTATAGCGTATAATATATCATTTTCTCAGGCTGGCACGGTATAAACGCATATATACATCCTCCTATAACACGGAAGAAGCTAGCACCGTTAATATAACGCGACAGTCGTTATCGCAAAACACGGCACTCATTTCCGACGTTATTACTCGAGTCGTACTCTCTACGACTATAGCTCTTTTCTTGATTATTCCCCTTATTGTCCTGTCTTAGGAGGCGCGTAAGAGCATCTAAATACTCGTTATGTCAGTCTATATTATGGCATTCGCGTGCTTAGTATCGCTAGGACTGAGAGTGTCGAACGTTAAGATGATGATTATTTATGCGGTATATGCTGCGATTATTTCGGTGTTTGTGTCCAATAGCCCGATATCTAACTAGTATATGAGGACGAGAAGCTGTACCGCAAGCTATAATGGTCGGTGTTTGCTATGTGGTTGTTAAAGCAATGCGGTGACGCGGGGCCGGACGGCCAGGAGACGCGATCGGGCGATGACGCGTGGAGGATGAAGTGCAGAGCAATGAAGGCCTCGATGCCAAGAACGATGAGCAGACAGCTGTGGTGGGCGCTGCGCCTGGGAAGCCAAGACCCGGCGAAACCCCTGCGGTTCTGCGAAGCCAGCCGCAACACGCCCTGATCCGGTGGCTGAGACCGCGAGCTGGTGTACGGCCGAAGGGAAACCGTCGGCAGTGGATAATAGACTTGGACAAATGCGCAGTAAGCCGACCGCTTGAAGGCGCGCGCAAAGAAAAAGCAATGTGAACGGCTCGTATCACGTCCGACGCGAGAAGGCAGCGGCAAGAACGCCGCAACGCCACGACGAGCTGGTTGGGAAAAACCTTCACCGGTGCGGACAAACCTGTCCAGTAAGCCAAGGAATACCCTCCGGGGGTCCAGGGCTTGGTGACCCGGCCAGAGCCTGGGCGAAGGGCCCAAAAGCCCCCTTGGCTGCATGTAATGCCTTGCTCGACGAGGCTAGACGCGTCTCAAGCACGGGGAGTCGAATTGCTCTGTTGGCTCAAGGATCTGGAAGACGAGATTTAAACAGGACTGCAGAACCGTGACCGGTTCTCCGCGTGAGTGTCTCGCCTCATGGCACACCACGACGGCCTCGCTCTGACTACCGTGTCGTCCCGCCCGCCCGCTTTCCTGCCGGCTTGGCACACCGGCGTGAACGACAAAAAGTAGATCGGAAATCCACACCCAATCCCAATGCGTTCGTGGCAATGACCAACGCGACGCTTAATCCGCGCCGCCTTTCCTGCTGTCGTGTCCATTTTGGCGTGATAACGTTTGCGCCCAATGCCTAGGCCAATCGCTCCGATCCGCAATAACTATACGATCACCCGGTCTACTCAACCCATTTTTTGACGAGATTATCAATGTCCTTCTGCATCTTCCTCTGATCTTTCTCGTCTAGTTGGGTCGCCTTTTCCATCATTTTCCGAGCATTGTCTTCGCTCATCTGCTTTGTCGCCACCAAAGTGGCCAACTTGTCGGCAATATCTGCGGCGATGACCCCAACTACCAAACCGGCCGTGATTGTAGCTAGAGTCGTCGCATGAATGCTAGCGAACCCGGATGCGGACATAACGTTCGCGGCTGTGCTCTTGGCTAGCAGGAGCTTCGTAGTGCCTGCCACGGCAACCTTGGATTTAATCACGAATCCGGCCATAATGGCCCACGAGATAGGATCGAACGGCATTTCTGCATGGTATATGTGGTCAGAATTCAAAGTTGAGACTGAAAGTGTGCAGCAGAGGTACTTGACTTGTAAGTGTATGAGCCTCGTGAGCTTACAAATTTACATATGTGGAGGATTAAAGCAAGTCTGTGATAGAGTAGCCGTCTACATATTCCGTCTGCATATTATGCAAAAGGGAGACAGAGCAACTTTGATATGTGAAAGGGTCCAATGTGAAAGGGTCCAAGCTGAGCCTCAAGTTCTCGATCAAGAGAATGTGGCGTCGGTCATGGGGTGCCAGTTGGCGGTGCTGCCCGCAGACAGGGAGGGGTGGAATTGTGCATTCATTGCAGAAGAACGGAAATCGCGGCACTTCACGTCATGTCGATTTGATACGATAAGAAAGTGGCTGGAAGACGAGGCACCGGCTGGTCGAAAGCCGCCAGCCCGGGGCACGAGACGCAAGCCACGGTGTCTGTCGGTTGTGTAAGCCAGTGGAACGAGTTTGACCTTCTCGCATTTCACATCAATTTGCTGGACTTGACGCATAATGGCTCCAATGTGCTTAGCCTGCGCAACTGACCAACACTGTCGTGCTTACCACCGTGAAAGCGCGACAAGAGCGACTTGACGGTGACAGGGGCTGTGCCAGACATAGTCAATCAAAGCGCCAAAACTGGCAGCCAGGCGGGATCCTACGAGCTGAGATTGTGTCACGGCGCTTCTGTCGTAGTCTTAACTCTCTGGGGGGCTGGGACGGGCTGCATGAGGGCTGAGTCTTCGGCGCTATGTCTGCAGGTTTTATGCCTTGAGGAACGAAGTGGCGAGAGGACTATTGTGGTGCCCTAGCTTACGCGGACGGATCTAGCTTCTAATTAGCCTGCTAAAACGCATGATATAACGATTTAATTAGTATTTTAAAGGTTATATCTAATTAATATATAGAGTTAGTTTTTATAGGTTCTAGAATAGTCTAGAGCCCGCTATTAGTACTTAAGGGTTACGACTTATAATATTAAGTAGCTAGCTAGCTACCTAGCGGTCTAATAAGAGCCTTAAATAGCTCTAAGCATTCTATAGCGAATAGCCTATATATAGCTATTTAATAGACGAAAAAAATATATATATTAGCTATAAAGGGGGCTCGAACTATAGCTAGTTTAATGCGCTCGTTAGACTATCTATTTATAGCTAATAGCTATAGGGAGATATACTAAATAATATTAATAGAAGTTATTTACTAGCTACGATCGGATAGCCTTATAATTATATAGAGCCTATATACTTACTTATTAAAGAGGCTTAAAAAGAGATATTAAATAAGTATAAGAACTTAAATAATAAAAGTATTTAGCCTAGAATATATTATTACTACTAGGCTAGGTTTTATTAGCGATCTTAATAATATACTATATCCTAGCTACCCGGTCTTATAATAGATAATTATATATCTTAAGCTTAATTACTATCCTATAAGCCTATATATACCCTAGAGTTATAAAGATATAATATTATAGCTATTCTATATTTCTTTAGGAATATATTAAAGACTAATTAATATTATTATAAGGTCTAATAGTTAATAAAGGTCTTAATTACTAGATTAAATAACTCCTTTTAAAGACTATTAGAATTACTTTAAATAGCGATAGGATATTTAACTATTTAGATATATAAGGTATATATATATACTATAAGCAGGCTAATTACTTAGCGTAAGTAAGTAAGTTAATTTAACTATATATATATTAATATAAGTATATTAATAATATATTATATAAGGTTATTATAATATATAACTATAATTACGGCAGTATTAATACTATTATTATAAAAATAATATTTAAGGTTAATCTAACTATTAGCTATATAATAGCTACTTTTATTCTAGTTTTAATTATAGCTATAAAATATTATAGGCTTATAATAACGATATATTTAATAGCGCTTTTAACTAGAAATATAGAGACTTTAATAGAACTATATATAAGAATAAGATACTTATTACTCCTCTCTATCCTATATATAATCTACTTATTTAGCGGTAATGCCTTATTTACTTAAATAAGACTATATAACTATACCCTTAACGCTCCTTTAAGCTATCTAAATTATTATATAGGCCCTAACTAAAAACTTACTTTATTTCGTTATTAAATTCTAAGTATTTATCTATTATCGTAGGCTTAAGCTTAGGTAATAGCGGATCGATCGATAGCTTTAATAATAGTAATAAAGGTAGTACTTTTATACTTTATAGCCTTAGTCTATTAAAGAAGGCTTAGAGATTTTAGTTAAGAGACCCTAAGCGAAGCTAAAGTAATTAACTTATTAAAAACGATACTTCTATCAGCAGTAAATAAAATAAAAGAGAGGGTATCTATAGCTATAGCTATAACGCGGGTAAAGGTAATAAGGTATAGTAGACTAGCCTTTAAGGTATTAATAGACTAAGAGGCGCTATTAATATAGAAGGTAGACTTAGCCTTAGTAATAATATATATAGCTCGCTAATTTCTATTAAATATATACTAGAATAACTTAAGGACGTTATAATTAGAGGTAATACCTATAAGTAGCTATTACTTACTCTTTATATCTATAAAGCTACTCCTAAAGGACCGGGCGATAGTATCGGCGGTAATATATATAACTGCCCAGTCCTAGCTATCTATAAAGCTACCCTAAATAGCCTAAAATATAGTATTAACAGTAATATAAATAAGATTCTAGTCCTTACCTATAAAGTTATACCGGATGCCCCTAAAGATAGCATTAGTAGTAATACCTATAACTAGCTAGTCCTAGCTAATAGTAATACTAAAGGGAATAACCTATAAGGCAATAAGAAACGCTATCGAAAGAGATCTAAGAACTTTATTATCTTATTACTATTAGTATTATCGTTATTACTATTACTTTCGAAAACATTAACTATATTCCCTTAGTTACTAGCCGAAATCTACCTCTCTTTTATATAATTAATTAATAGAACTAGAGAATATATATATCGGGATAGAGGTAACGGTCGCGAGAAATTAATAGAGTTAGAATAAGGATTGATATTTAACTTAGATATTATAGTATTCGTTTTATATTTTACGGAGAAGAATTATCGATAGAGGAGATATATCTTATAATAAGACTTATACTTAAGTAAAGGTATTATTAAGTAGTTTTACGTAAAGTAAGGGGGAAATAATCTCGCCTTTATTATATTACTTAATACTTTAATAAGATAATAATAGAAGTACTTATAGCTAATAACTCTAACTATCTCTTTATTAATAGGTATTAATGCTTATTATTTATAGCTAACTATAATAGATTAATTATTTTTAGTATTATATAACGATTAATACTAGTAAGGGTTTATTAATATATCGCTATAATATAATTATACTTTTAATTAAGTAATTATTAAAGTCTACTTAAAAATACTTTATTTAATAGAATTATCGCTTTATCTATAAGAAATGCTATACTTATATTAATATATATACTTTCGCTAACTTAGACCTAGCGCTAGCTATATCATTCTTAGGCTTTATAATCGCCCTTATTAAACTTAGTCTATATACTCTATATACCCTTAAGGGTATAGCTAGATATATTAATCGATCTAGCGCTATTCTAAGCTTTATAATCTCTTTATTAAATCTAGTTTATATATTCTATATACTCTTAAGGGTACGATTAAGTAAGTAATATATAACTAATTAATACGCAACCGGTTAATATACGATTAATTAATGCCTTTACTATCCTCGTATAGCTAAATAATAATATAGATTATCTTATATAACTAGATTTAATTTTAGCTAAGCGGTATTTCTATAATCTATAAACTATTTCGAGCTTATCTTTAATGCTTTTTAGCGATATATTAAGAAGGTATTATACTTTACGTATAGTAATAAATATAACTTAAACTACTTTTTCTATATTAATAACGTTTAAATCTTAAATAAAATTATTAGTTATTAGATTTAACGTAAATATAATATTAACTACCCTTACTTTTATAATAATAATAATAATAATATTAATAGCTATAGCTAGGATAATAAAAGGTTAAGGTATCTATTATTATTTATAGGAGGTAGAAAGGGAATATATATAAATACTTAAGGTATATTTTTTTAGTATTTAATACTGCCGCTAGCCTATAATAAGGGGCATAACCTATTATCGATAGTATCGTTCTTACCTCGTCTATTATATTACCTTTATATACGAGAGGTCTCAGACTATTCTTATTATATAACTATCTTATATTATATATAAATAGCTTACGCTTAATAATATACTATATTATAGTACTATATTTATCGCTATTAATATAAGGGGCATAATCGATATTTATATATCTTATCTCCTTTTATTAAAGTTAGGCATAGAAATATATTACTTTTAGGTACCTTTTATAGCTTTAATATATATAGTCTTAGCCCTTATTACTTCTTTACTTAAAATATTAACTTATATAAGAAAAGAAAGAGAATAGCTTAATATATATTTACTTTTACTTAATATTAAGAAAATAAGGCGGCTATATATCTACTCCTTATTATTATTACGTCTATATCTTATAGAAGTATCCTATTAAAATAAAGCTATATATTATTATATTATTATATCGCTTACCTTTAATTAGCCTCTATATAGCATTACTTAACTAGCTATTTATAACTTAATGCTATTTTAGGTATAGATAGAAAGGTATTATATAATCGACCTCTTAAAAGAATACTAATTAATTAATTATCTAGTCTATATAACTCGCTTTAAAGATATAATAGTTTAATATAATATAGATTAACCTTACTCTTATAAAGCTATTATATAGTATAAAGTAGTACTTTACTAATAGGTAGATAATACTATATCCTATTTACTATAAGTTAATATTATTACTATTATTATAGCCCTACCTCTTACTTAATTTCCTCTAACTAATAAATATATTAAAGTAAAGTATAAAATAGCGAGTTAATAAAACTATACTTTAAGATAGAAGTACTTAAAACTTATTAATATAAGATTTCTTATAGTAATTATAGAATAAATATAGTAAACCTTCTTAACGCCCTTAACGCCTTTAATTACCCTAACTCCCTTAACTCTTTATATCTATTATTATACTTTACTCTATTAGTTTACTTAATATATAATATCCTTATATAATATATTAAGGCCCTCTTCTACCTTTAATATTTCTATAAGAACTATATTCTTAAAGAAGTCTTACGATCTCGCCTTTAATATAAGTATTATATTATTATATAACTTATACTAAGAAAGCTATATATAGAGACTATATATATTATAGGCCTATAGAACTTATTAGCCTAGATTAGCGTTATATATAGTTCTAGCGCTATAAAGCTCTAAATAAGCTTTTATTAAAGTTCTCCCTTAAACCTTATAATTTATATAGGCGAATACTACTATATAAAGTAGGCCCTTTTAAATTATGCTTAATTTTTATTATAGTTACTTATATTTATTAACTCTAATCGTAAAGCTAGTAGTTATAAGTAAGATAGTACCTTTTAGGAGGGTATTAAATTAAAACGATATTATTATTTCGCTCTTTAATATAACGCTTACTAGCGGGCTAAGGTATAGTATTAACTTTAGCGATATCTTATACCTAGGAAAATCTTTATTAAGAATTATATTAATAGTAATATATATAGCGCTATTAACGACCTTTAAGCCTTAATAAACGTTTTAGTTAATAACGAGAGGTATATTAAGTATAAAGAGAAATACGCCTAAGACTAGAATATTATTACTATCCTCGATTTTAAGGATAAATCTTACCTCTTTTTCTATAAATATACTATCCTTCTATAAATAATATAACGTGCGTTATCAGCGAGTGGACCATATCAGCGAGTGGACCACTTTTCACCACAACGCGGCATTCCACACTTAAACGTTGAATTTCTCCACAACGCGTCATGGTCTCGCATTCGAACGAAAATCGGATTCTTCTTGCTATAGCTGCTCTTGAAAGAGACCCAAAGTTAACCGTTCGAGCCGCG